CTTCGAAAGTCACTCTATGGCCTCAAACAAGCTTTCCGGAACTGGTTTTTTAAACTAACATCTGTTCTTCTTAATGCAGGTTTCGTTCAGTCACAAGCAGACCACTCCCTATTTACCTTGATCACTGCAACCAGTCTCACTATTATCCATGTTTACGTTGATGATATCTTGGTTGTTGGCAATGATCTTTCTCAGGTTATCTTCTTCAAGAGCATTCTTTCCAATAACTTCAAAACCAAGGATCTCGGCCCTCTCAAATATTTTCTTGGCCTTGAAGTTGCACGATCTCCTTCTGGCATTTTTCTTAATCAACGAATATGCCCTGGACATCCTCGCCGACAGTGGCCAGCTTGGTTCTCGTCCTGCACCTTTTCCTATGGAACAAAATCTGAAACTCAATGACACAGATGGTAACCTTCTTCTTGATCCCGCTTCTTACCGACGGTTAGTGGGACGCCTCATTTACCTCACCATCACCATACCTGATATCGTCTTTGCAGTAAACATTCTTAGCCAATTCATGCATGCACCTCGGACCCCTCACATGACAGCTGCAACACGTGTCCTCCGCTACATTAAAGGGACTCCTGGACAAGGCATTTTTTCTCTTCCTCTAATAATCTTCATGTTCATGCTTACACAAATTCTGATTGGGCCAGTTATCCCACCACTCGACGCTCTACCACTGGCTTCTTCATTACACTTGGTTCCAATCCCATTTCTTGGCGCACTAAGAAACAAACTACAGTGGCCCGCTCCTCTACAGAAGCTGAATATCGTGTTATGGCTGTCACAACATGTGAACTAATTTGGTTGAAACAGCTTCTCCATGACATTGGCATCTCATACAATGACCCAATGACCCTCTACTGTGACAATCAGTCCGCCTTTCACATTGCTCAGAATCTAGTTTTCCATGAACGAACAAAGCATATTGAGATAGACTGCCACATCGTTCGTAACAAACTCCGTTCTGGTCTCTTCACCACTACTCATCTTCCATTTGCCGAGCAGATTGCCGACATCTTCGCCAAAGCATTAGGATCTTATCTCTTTCATCACATCTCTCGCAAGTTGGGAATTATGGATCTTTATGCACCAACTTGAGGGGGCATATTACAGCACATAGAAATTCCACAAGTTTAGCTCCCATGATTTCAGTATTACAGCATATAGAAATCCCACAAGTTTAGCTAAACTTTAGCTCACATGATTTTAGTCATTTCCCAGAATTTTGTATAGATGATTTTATTTCCATGTAAACCATGTCCATGTACAGCTATATAAAGCATACTGATCAATGAGAAATACAAGATAATTGTTTTTACCATTTTACTTCTTTACATAGAAAGTAAAAAATAATAATAATAATTAAACATTATTAAAGAGTAAAATTCAATAAATAGTACTACCACTGTCACATAAAGATATTCCTATTTTCCTTTTTCATCTATCCTAAATTATAGTCATGTTTCCTGTTTAAAAATGTAGTTAATATATTAGTTTCCTAATACATCCCTACTTAATGTGTTTTATTATCACAATAATAAATCACTCCATTATTCAATTGTAGTTGGAACGTTCCATTTTTCATGACATTTATTAATTTGTATTTGGATTTTGGAGTAAAAAAAAGGCCCACCATCATCCATCGTCATCGTTGTCTTAAACCATGAGTAAGAAATTGAAAGACTGGCCATATTTACTCAATGTTTCTAAAGATAATCCTAGTACAGTTAGCACCATAGATCACGATTTGAACAAATCGGTGAGGCCATTCCTCGATTTAAATGATGCAATTATATTCACTTGTTATTGTATTTAACCCGGTTTGAATGTAATAAGTAAAGAATTGTTCTCATATATGCAATCTATGAAGTTCCTTTTTTCCCCTTCTTGAAATTAATCAGCCTTGAAGAAGAGTTTAAATAAATTAATGTTGTCAGGCATCTACAGCAATTTTGAAAGGCTCACTCCAGTCCAATAAATCAAGAGTCCCAGTACGATTTCTTAGCCACTCTCCGAGATTCCATTAACATCGTACTTATAAACAAGAAATTTGACATCCAGCCAACAAAAATACATAAAAGAAACAATACACCTCCTATTTCCTGTTAATGCTTCTGGTCATCACGAAAAAATAAAAAATAAAAAAAATCAACACTCGGGTATGTTAAATCAAATTTATTGAAAACTTCTTCATATTGAAATCTTTGATTGTTAAATCAAATTTATTGAATTAATTTCTCTCATAAAAGTTTTTTACCTCTCTTTGTTCTTAATTTATTTATATCAATCTTAAAGAGAGATATTTTTTGAGAAGATTTTTTTGAATTTACATAGTATTTACTTCATCTTAATCTTCTCATTGAAAAACTTTGATTGTTAAATCAGATTTATTGAATTAATTTCTCTCATAAAAGTTTTTCGTCTCTCTTTGTTCTTAATTTATTTACATCAATCTTAAAGAGAGATATTTTTTTAGAAGATTTTTTTGAATTTACATAGTATTTACTTCATCTTAATCTTCTCATTGAAAAACTTTGATTATTAAATCAGATTTATTGAATTAATTTCTCTCATAAAAGTTTTTCGTCTCTCTTTGTTCTTAATTTATTTACATCAATCTTAAAGGGAGATATTTTTTTAGAAGATTTTTTTGAATTTACATAGTATTTACTCCATCTTAATCTTCTCATTGAAAAACTTTAATTGTTAAATCAAATTTATTGAATTAATTTCTCTCATAAAAGTATTTCATCTCTCTTTGTTCTTAATTTATTTATATCAATCTTAAAGGGAGATTTTTTTTTTAAAAGATTTTTTTGAATTTACATAGTATTTACTTCATCTTAATCTTCTCATTGAAAAACTTTAATTGATTGAATCAAACTCGTAAAAACATCATCATTAAAGTTTCTCATTTCTCTCTTAGTATTTGATTTATTATAATCATTTATTAAAAGAGAGATTTCTTGAGAAGATTATTTGAATTTACATTGCATTGAATTCATCTTCATCTTCTCATTAAAATACTTTGATTGGTTGAATCTAATTTTAATTGTCATTTTCATCGAAGTGTTTCATCTAACACTTGAGCTATCATTTGTTACAATTCATTGAAGTGTTAGCCTCCCTTAGTAATTAATTTGTTTTGTATTATTTATCAAGAGAGGATTTGATTTTAAAATCACTTTGATAAAGTGTGGGTTGAAAGCTCAATATTGTGTAAGGATCAGTGCTCCTTATTATAAGTCACCGTGTGGGTCATATTGAGGTCCCGTAAAACTCAATAGTGTGGGTCATGTTAAGATCCTGTAAAGCTCAACTTTGTAAAAGATCGATGCTCCTTATTTGTAAGTAACTAGAAGCGTTGTAAAGGGTTAGATTGCACCATAAGTCAATCAACATAGTGAAAAGGCATTTCTCTTGCCGGAAAACTTGATAACGGAGGAAGTAGATCATTGTTTTGGATCGAACATCCACAATTATATCGTTTGCATTCTCTCTCCTTTTACTTATCGCTTTTATACTTGCGCTTATTATTTCAATTTTTCGATTTAGTCTTTACTTGCTTTTTTATTTGTGTTTATTTGCTTAATTGACATATTTGCTAACATATTGGTTTACATCTAAAATTAATTTTCGAAAAAGTTTTAAAAATCAATTCACCCCTTGTTTGTTAGTCATTCTTGGGCTTTTAATTGTAAGATCAAAGAAGGGTATTAGAGTATCTCAACAGAAATACATTCTTGATCTACTGAGTGGTACTGTCATGCTAGGATCTAAAACAAGTAACACCTATTGAATATGGAAAAATAAGGGACACGAGAAGCACAGTGAAAATAGACAGATACCAAAAATTGGTTGGTAAGTTAATATCTGTCACACACTAGACCTGATATTACTTTTGCAGTTAGTGTGGTAAGTCAATACATGCATACTCCTAAAGAAGTTTATCTAGAAGTAATATTAAAAATTCTCATATATCTAAAAGACACTTCTGGGAGAGGATTATTTTTTGAAAAGAATAGAAGGATAGGAATAGAAATACTCACCGATGCAGTCCGGGTTGGATCAATTAAAGATAGAAGATCTACTTCGGGCTACTGTACATTTGTATGGGGAAACTTAGTGATTTGGAAAAGCAAGAAACATAATGTAGTAACAAGAAGCAGTGCTACAGCTGAATTCAGAACTGTGGCACAAGGAATTTGTGAAGGATTATGAATGAAGAAACTTTTGGAAGAATTGAAATTAAATGTGGAACTCCTAGTCAAACTTTATTGTGACAACAAAGCAATTATCGATATTTCTATCAATCCAATATAGCATAAGAAAACCAAACATATAGAAGTGGACAGACACTTTATCAAAGAAAATGTAGAAGATGAGATTATCTGTATGACATATGTCCCTACAACTGAACAAATTGCGGATATCTTCACCAAAGGATTATCTCGATAAAGCTTCAACGATCTGAACAGCAAGTTGAACATGATCAACATCTACAGTTCAACTTGAAGGGAAGTGTAGGAAACCATGAATGGAAAGGACCTATGGATGGAAATTGTAATTAATTATAGATTGTGATTTTAGGTTAATTGGTAGGTTGATTTATTTCCTTAGGTGATTATTTTTTCTGTTTCTTGTTCGACTTGTTCAATATAAGTAGAAGGTATTAGGGATGTAATTATTCATTGAGAAATACAAATCTAGAATATTGGTTTTGATTTCATTTTTGCACTTCTAATTCCATTTCTTTGAAAAAGAAATATCATAGCATCTTTTATTCCATAACAATTTTGTAAGATGCGAGTACAAGATTTTAAAGGATTAAAATGATAATTTTTGCTTGGTATTGAGCTGGTAGACTCCGTTATAATGTAAGTTGTTAATTGTTATTTCAAGGCTGTCATTTACTTTTAACTTGATAATTGTATGTAATTTTCAGCTTAAAATAACCATGCAGTTAGAATTGAAGTGTGCAGCACAGCTCAGATGTAAAATTTGTACTCAATTGCATTGTAGAATTAACTAAAGATCATACTCATTCATATTCTTGCATATTTACTTCAAAATAAATTGCTGAGTAATCTTACTGTCCTTTGTTTTCTGTTTTTTGGATCACAAATTACATCATCTACAGATCTTTATGTATTCTACTCCTTCCCAGTTGGCGTTGTTAACCATCTAAACTTTTCGACCGCAAAAAATTGTAATTACTTCAATTCACAGTAAAGAACAGGGTACAAATTGATCGGTGCTTACTGCTCAGCTTGAAGGGGCCATTTGAAGGATCTTTTCTGCTTGATCGGGGAAGAAAGTAATGAACAGAAATGCACCTGAGAAGTCCACCATTCAAGCAAAATGATCGAACCACATGGAAAAAGGAAGGCAGAAACATAATGGACATGCTTCGACTAAGTATAATAAAACAAATTTTAGCATCTTTCTCTAAAGTATTGTCCAACCAACAAACATGCCATGTGTGTTTTGAGCACTTACAGATGAGAACAGTCCCTAAAACAGCAGAAATTTTGCCTTGAACGGTAACCAAACCAGCTTTGCCTGCATTTTGTAGCTCAGTGGAACCAACAGAATTGAACGTCCCTGCAAACAAAGAGATTGTTGCACTTGGCCTGGTGTATATGGTTATTGAATTATAAATTTACCTGGTGTTACAGATTGGAGCCCTGATGTTATACAAGCTATGCTTCCATAACCTGCTTTCTCTAATTTGTCGGCAGCCGCAGGAGCCCTTAAAACCGTAACAAATAGCATAAATTAAACAAGCATACAAGAAGTAATGCAGGAGCATGTTAGGCCCAATGGGAAATGGCTTGCAGTGGATTCTCAAGCTTGATTCTGGTGAATTGTACTATTGCCATAAGCTATAAACTTTAAGCAAAGTGTGACAATCCCTTAAAGAATCCATATCTAACAGGAAGCAATGCTAACAAACGAGAAACTTACCTCAGTCCCTCTTGACAAACAAGTAAAAGCTTGCTTTCAGGTGAAAATTGGCTCTTAACAGATTGGACAAAATCAGGATTAGGTTTAGTAAAAGGCAGGCCATAGAATAAACCCGAAAAATTGTTGTGTAAGGTCCTCTTTATTATGGTTCCTGTCCAAAATTTACGAATAAGCAACAAAACAAGTAAAATAAGACAGAAAAACTGCTAGCAGAGCAAACTAGACATACCGAAGTCATTGTCCTGGTTTTCGATAAAAAGGGGGATATGGTAACAATCTTTTATGTGAGCTCGCTCAAACTGAGTTCTATCACGCACATCAAGAATTGCATATCCCTCAACTGCTATGAGCTTCTTTGCTTCTTCAGCATTCACATAATTGACTTCTGCTTTAATCACCAAAGTTCGTCTAGGTAGTCGTCTCCCTGTCACGATCCCTCCTCGATAAGTCCACGATGTTCCCAAATTGCTGAAACCACATTCCTATTTTTTAATTCTTATGTGTATGATGAGTAAATTCCAATCTCTATTCCCTTTTAATTTATCACAAACTGAGATTTGATGGAATTCCAAGAGCAGGAAGGGCAATTTTAAGTTGTGCGTCTACAATCTAAACGAAGTTAAAGTTGCTTTTATTCACAGAATTTAGTGCAGCAAATTTAGACTTACGTAAAGATGCTTTTTTTTAAAAGAATTCGAAATCATTATCAACCCTGTTAACCATAAAAATTCAGTAAATTGATAAGATTCTTGCAACCTCCCACATCATCACGAAAAAAAAAAAAAAAACAAAAACAAAAACAAACAAACAAGGAAATACTCAAACAAAGCGATTGATAAAATTATCTCTATTGCAGTATCAAATTCAAAATTGATATATGTAGTTTCCTTCAAGTGAGCTTTTCCGGTGAAGCTAAAAATGGCTTTTACAATGTTAAATTACCTCCTAGACGAGAGTGTTGAGAAGCAACAGCAAGCAATTCCTGCCATATCTCCACTGTCTCAATCTCTCTTTCTCTAGAACGCAGTAGAATGAAATTGTGATAGCGATTTTCTTCGTGGCTAATAGCCGCGAAGGTCCATGAAATTCAAGGGAGTGAATCAGTTTCTGCCATGTGGCAAACAGAACGTACGGGATTGGGTTTGTTCTTGTTGTACAGGGCCAATGTTGCCCTGGTTGGACCGGCTTTTTTTAAGGTTACTATAGAAAAGGATAAAATCAAGTGTACAGAAGATTTCTTGACAGAATTTTCTCAGATAATGCGTTGGCAGCATTGAAGTGGTCAATTTTTTCTTTCTATTTTTTTTGCAGTCACCAATGAAATGACGCCACCTCACCATCTATATAAATTCTAACAATAAAGTTTGCACACCAATCAAGGTTCTATAGAAAATTAGCAATTGGCCTATTATAAGCAGAAAAAATATGTAAAAAAATCCTTTATTATTTGAAAATACCATATTACGTCGCTAGTAATGTTCTAAAAAGCGTAAGATGTGATTAGGCGTGGAAGTCAAACTTTAAGTTAGATGAGGCCTATACATAAAAAGTGTTTCTTATTTTGATATTATTTTTAATTTTTAGTTAATCTAAAAATTATTTAATAATTAAAATAATACATATCAAACATCTAAAATTATAAAATATTATATTAAAAAAAAAAGAAAAAAAATACACGCCTAAGCTCCAAAAGAAAAGAAAACATGCCTAGGTCCAAAGCAAGGCGTTTTGTCCACGCTTTGCGCTTAGGCGCATTTTTTTAGAACATTGATTATTAGGGCCTGTATGAATCTATTTTCTAAAAAAATCCGTGTTTTAAGAAGTTCCATACTATTGTTAGGCAAGGGATGGCAAAATATCCCAGGTCAAATAGAGACCGTTCTTGTTTCGAATTGGTCTCGATTTTTAATTTTTATTTTAGATTTATATTATATTTTAAAAATAAATAAGTATACAATAGGAAAATAGGAATTTTTTAATTCTTATTTGAATTCTGTTCTAATATCAAATACCAAAAATTTAATTGAACTGATTTTTTATTATTATTTTTTTAATCTTTTGTTTAAATAGTGGCTTGTATTATGGACCAACCATTTAATTTTTTCTTCTGAAGATCACCATAGTACCTCAAGTTATATTCAATTCATTATAGTGTTACTTATAAACTTAGACAAATGGATCATTTAAATATAGATGTAATTCAGATTAATAAAGGGCTTGTGTTCATATTATATCTTTCAAGTAAGCTTTTTCATATAAGTGTACTACACTTACATAATATAGTTTGACAGACATCTTCCAGATCACACACTATTCATGGGGTGGGTGGTTATATTTTTTCAATATAAAACTCACATAGAACCCACCCCCATGTGAGTTTCCTGGATTTATTCTGGGAGAAGAATTCTTACAACCAGAATTTCTCTTCATATAAAGTGAAAGTAAGATTGGGATATGTTTTTCAAGAATCCATTCAATTCAATAATTAACTAAGATGTAAATTGTTGCATTTAGTTTAAACTTGAAAATGCAAATCATGAGCATCAATATAAATCATTTTGATGAAGATATTAGAAATAATTTAGATACTTAAACAATTTATAGCTTGAGAACTTTTATAGTTAGATGTTTAATTTTCATCGGTTAAAGAATTTGAGAACTTCAATCGAAGAAATCGAATTGGATCGAACTAGAACTAAATGGTTCAATTTTGTTCCAATTCCATACTTGGAGATGGAACGGAACACATTGCCATCCCTTAATAAGCCCTCAAAACTCGACACTGTTGCATTGCCCATGGGATATGGTAGCAAAAATCAAACAATGTCATAAACACTCCATCTTTAACTACCAAGTCAGCTCCATTTGCCTCCCATTTAAATGAAACAAGGTCAATAATTCAGCAAATACCCAAATAGCACCTCTATGACTCTTCTCCCAAAAAGCCCCTCCTTTTTCAATAATTCAGCGAACTAATCAAGACTAATAATCAATAGCATGTTTGTTAGCTGTCACATATCTCTGTTTTTTAATTTTGTCCCTTGAAAATAGAGTTAAATTAAACATATCCATTTTCCTTGACAAGAGGATTTCTAGACCATTTAATAAAGTAAAATTATTAACTAGATTTGTTTTCATTTTCTCTCGCCAACTTGGTCCGGTTTTTCCCTGTTGAATTTACTAGACTTACGTCTCGCTGATATTAGAATAAAATGCCATTTCTGGTAGCCTTTAAACAAGCACATTTTATGGAATTTATAAGCGGGGAAAGCTGAGTTCATGGTATGATATTATGATATCAAGATCCATTGCATCCATTGCCTTACAATGAGGAAAAAGTTTAATATAATACGGTAGGGATGTTAAGTGGGGCGAGCTGTGAACCAAGTTGGGTATTTCTTGTGAGTCACTTGTCGGCTTGTCTAGGAGCTGGGAAGTAAATAAAATTAAAAAAAATGAATTTTTAATAAAAAAATAAAAATAAAAATGTACAAGCCTGCTCAGTTCGCCCCACCTAGAGTGGGATGAGCCAAGCTGCATTTTTCTTCAAGTTAGCTGGCCTGTACTCGGCTCATCCCAAAGCAAGCATGGGCCTTCTTGCCTGGTCGGCTGAGCCGAACTCAGGATCGGCGAACCCGAGCCAAGTAGCTCAACCCACTTAACATCCATATAATATGGTATCAAAAGCTATACCGGTTCACATCTCAATTCCTATCTTGCTTGCACTCAAAAACTCGAATTAACTGTTCAGTATAGTAATGAGTCCTACAATATGGTATCAAGAGCTATATACCAGTTAATATATCAATTTCTATCCTATTTGCACTCAAAAACTAGAATGAACTTTTCAGTACAGTAATAATACAGAAGTAGAACATGTGACGCTTTAAAAATCCAGACTCGCCATTGTACAGTCAACCTTTTGTAGAATCAGATGGAGTAGTAGCTCAGAGTCGGCGAACCACAGAATCGGGTGTTGGTAGAACGGAATGATCGGTCGAAGGGGTCAACTTCAGCACCATCTGCTGTGCCAGGCTTGTGCAGCAGACCCGCCAGAGACTCCACGATTTCAGATATTGGAGGACGAAATTCCTGATCAGGCTGATGCATTTCAAACAGACAGAAACTCAGTCGTTCAAAATTCACATTACAGCCAATAACCCCACCATATACTGTCTGAAGTGCTTTAGCAATGAAGTGTCTTTTATGCGAATGAAAATAGAACACAATCTCAGTAAAAAGCCAAAGAATTCGAAAAGATCATTTCTCAAGCCTCGTGTTATGGATATCAGCATGTTTAATGTCATACAAGTTACCTGAATACAGAGGGAGACAATGTCTGCAAAACGTGACAGAGACTTGGATGAAAATGTTCCAGTCATGAGTGGATCGACCATCTGTCCCAAAGACTCACGGTCATGAAGCCTGAATGAAGCCCATTTCACCAAGGATTGCTCTGATGATGGTCTTGAACTATAAAAATTGACAGAAACGTAACTAGTCAAGAAGTTAAGAATGAGTTGATTGTAGAATAAAGAGAAGGCAAAAGGAAGTCCTAATAAACTCTATACCAATCGAAAGGCCTCCTTCCCGTTAAAAGCTCTAAAAGCAGCACTCCAAATGCATACACATCAGCCTTTGTGTTAGCGATCCCAGGCTGCATAGGTTGGAAATTTTCAGGTACAATGTAGCCACTATCAGCAATAGCCATTTCTGAAGCCTGTGTTATGTTTGGTTTTGAAGCAATACAATGTTTAAAATTGTCAAAAACAATATTCTGGAAATAAGTCTGAAGGATAATGGAAATTAACATGTTAATATGTACCTTGAGCTTAACACTGTTGCTGGTCAGGGGTCTCAGGATAGCCAGGCTGCAGTCACTCATGTGGGGCATGAGCTCTTCGTCGAGTAGGATGTTAGCAGCCTTCAAATTGCTATGGGCTATGGGAGGCAAGCAGGAGGAATGCATGTAACTGAAATTACACAGAGAAAGGAGAGAGAATAAAAAGGCCATCACTTGCCATGATAGAGAATCTGGATGACCATAATCCTACAAGATCAAGCAAGAAAAACATTGCAAACACAAGAGCCTGATTGTTAAAGACAAAATTCTCAATAAATAAATTTGTTCTCTCTCTAGAAGTTCAAACTTTGGATGAGATCGTTCAAAATGGTATCATCAAAGCTATAGTCACCAAGTTATGAAAATTTAAGTTATGAAAATTATGCACCTTAGCGGCAATTGAAAATATAAAATAAAATAATGAATCTTGGGTATGTTGAAGACAAAATTTTATAGTATCTAAAAGATTGAGCTTTTAAATAGACTTCTTTTAAATGGACTGGTACAACACTTCTAAATAAATAAATTTGTTCTCTCTCTAGAAGTTCAAACTTTGGATGAGATCGTTCAAAATGGTATCATCAAAGCTATAGTCACCAAGTTATGAAAATTTAAGTTATGAAAATTATGCACCTTAGCGGCAATTGAAAAAATAAAATAAAATAATGAATCTTGGGTATGTTGAAGACAAAATTTTATAGTATCTAAAAGATTTTAAATAGACTTCTTTTAAATGGACTGGTACAACACTTTTAAATAAATAAATTTGTTCTCTCTCTAGAAGTTCAAACTTTGGATGAGATCGTTCAAAATGGTATCATCAAAGCTATAGTCACCAAGTTATGAAAATTATGCACATTAGTGGCAATTGAAAAAATAAAATAAAAAAATGAATCTTGGGTATGTTGAAGACAAAATTTTATAGTATCTAAAAGATCGAGCTTTTAAATAGACTTCTTTTAAATGGACTGGTATAACAACGATTGATACTTACTTCAATGCTCGAGCAACACCAAGAGCAATTCGAATGCGTAGGCCCCAGGATAGTGGCTTGTATGTGACGCTGTGCAAGGCCTCATCAAGAGAAAAATTCCTGATATATTCATACACAAGAAGATGTTGGCCATGCTCCGTGCAGTATCCAAGAAGGGTCACTATGTTTGGGTGCCTCAATCGGGATATATTCCGAATCACATCTAGGAATTCTTCTTCTTCAATGATGGACAGAGGTACCGTGTTAATGCTCTTCACAGCTACAATCTAGCAGATGGAAACAAAAATTCAGAAATTAGCACAAGCTTCAAAAATTCTGGAATTTGCATTGTATAGTTCAAGATAGTACCATTCCATCTGGAAACTCTGCTCTGTGAACACAACCAAGGGATCCTTCTCCAAGAAGATTTCCTTCACTGAAGCTGTTTGTTGCTGATTGAAGCTCTGACAGGGAGTACACTTTTGCACTCATTTTGTTCATAGAGAAGCCTTTTCTTTTAGACACTTTCATCATTTTAGAACGTATAGGGGGCAAATGAGAGGGGGTAATCATCGGAGGAGAACTGAATGATGACACGTTTGGGCTACCCTCTGCAGTCATGGACGAATAATCTGTTCCGACATAAATCAAAGCAAAAAGGAGAGTAAAAAATGGAAACAAAAATGAATAATACTATATATGTAGATTTAAAATTGAAATCAATAATTCATGCAAGTTATTGCTTAAAAAAAAAAAAAATGAAGGCTGAAAGTAATATTCCTTTCATATATTTATAGCGATGTATGGACCTCTGACTATGCTGATTGGTGAAGATCTTGTTGAACCTTCACAGCTGCCCAAGCTTTTGAGGATTTCCCTACGTGATCGTTGACTTCGAATTAAGAGGAAAAGAGCTGCACATGAAGCAATCAGAGTGCCTCCTCCAACTATTAGAACTATTCCTGCTGCACCTTGTCCCTTCTTCTTGTGCCCTCTTACTTTGTGAGAAGGATATCTTTCAATGGCACTTAAATTTGTAGATGGCGGAGTAGTGAAATTCTGCTCATTGGGCAGAGTGTCGGAAGGAAAATTCCAGGGTGGATAGTTTGGTCCATTGTTGTTGAATTGATTTCCACCGATCCTAAAAAAGAGATGAAGATGCAGAATAAGAGACATCAATAGATTTTATTTGCAGCAGAACCGAAGAAAGTACATGGATGACTCGTAGCTTACCACAAGTTGTGTATATATTGAAACTTTTCTGGAATAAGACCACTGAAGTGGTTATCTTCAATATTCCTGAAAGTGAACATAACGAGTACAGAAACAAAAACAGAAGGTTTGGACTATGTTTCAAATTTCTGGAGAAAACATACAAGTCAGATAGCGGGAGATTGGCCAAGAATATTACTGATCCGGTAAATTCGTTTCCCTGCAAGAACCTGAAATAATTCTTAAAATAAAATCTTGTAGCTGTGAACGGATAATCCATGTCATGATTAATTAAAAACAAAAACTCACAATCTTGTAAGGTTTGTCAAAGTTTTGAAAGAGGTAGGTAGATCTCCGGTGAAGTTATTGAAAGATAAATCCCTGGGAAAGCAGAATGTATTTCTCAGAAATCACAGTAATAAACCAATAGTTCAGATATGAATATAATTTATGTTGAGGAACTGATGCAACGTAGGCAACAATTTAGAAGTTCTCGTATCAAGAACAAATTTCCGTAATATTCCCTCTGAGCTTGATTTTCCGAGTTTAGGGGTAACAGAACAAATCCAATTTTCATCTAGTCTATAATAAAAGTTGTCTTAACTTTACATTGAGTGTAAGGAAACTGAAAATATCTTACATTTCTACTAGATTCTCCAGGCCATTGAACACATCTCCTAAGGGTCCAGATAAAGTGTTGTGGCTCAAATTCCTGCAGGAATATCATTATGCGTGGTAACAAACACACAAGTTGGTAACAATAATAATAACCTGCAATTGTATAAGAAAACAAAACTCAGCAGTAGGGAAAATGCTGCTTACAGATGCCGGAGATGTTTCATGTAAACTAAGGAGTATGGAATGCTTTGGCTAAAGTTATTCCCCGACAAGTTCCTGTATTTATCAAAGATAAAGAGCAGAGAACTGTTTTTGTAAGAGCATGTATAATTGAGGTAGTTTGTAAAATAGAATTAGCAAATAGGGCTATCTTACAGTTGTGTGACATTAGGAAGTACGAAGTAGGGGATATCGCCATGAATGTGATTTGAGCTAAGGTCCCTAGTAAAAATAGGTGCACAGAATTGGTAAGAAAATAAGGTTGGGACTATATACCATTTACTGAAGTAAGCAATGACATTACTAAGAATTTACTTACAACTGCTTCAAACTTCTTAGATTCGAGAGGTCAAATCCAAGAGTTCCAGTGAGTTCTAGCCCATGAAGTTTACTGATAAAAGTAAAAGAAAAGGTCATTTATTTTAATATTACAATCAGGTAAGATTGAGTAGCTTGAACATTCGAACATGGAATTACAGGTGGATTACTGATGATCCAAAGCACGAAACTCCAGTCCATGATTCGTCACAAGGATCTCCACCATCTAATTTCCATTCCTTCAGCTGCGGTGGGCTGTTCAGGGACCTGTACAGATCTCTAAGAGCTTGGACTGCGTATTGAAAGTTAGATGATTATTTCTTCTTGAAACTGAATTAAACAATCAATCAGAACTCTGTATAGTAATAACTAACAATTTACAAATCCTGCAATGTATATTATAGCATGCACGAAAACTCTGTACTTCTATGCTCAAGAAACCTTAAATTTTATATTTTGTATGATTTTTAGTCATCTGTCCCAGTTTTTCGTAAAGCTTAATTGCCAAAAAAATAAAAATAAAAAATAAAATAATAATAATAATAATAAATAAAATCACTCTGATGTCTAGTTGTCAATAGAAGCCACTCGTTAACCAAAAAAGATACATGACAGAACAAACATGAATATAAATTTAAGAGAATGTCAACAATAAATTGAAGAAATTTTCTCTGATACAGAATGATAAAAGGGAAGTTCAATGAATAGACGCCCATTATCCACAGCGTTCAAGAACAACATATGCAGCAAAAACTTCTGAGAAGGATAAACGAATAAAAAATTTGTTTAAATGTGTACCATCTGTTTTATCCGTAGAGGCCGAGGCTGAGAATGCCAGAATTGCCAAGAAGATAATTGTAATCAGACACGCAATTGGACGAAGTTTAGCCATTCTTTTATCAAGAAATAGAAAGAGCAGTAAATTGATCTTAAAAAAAACCAACAAAGATTTTTCTCCAAATCCCCAAATTTCCCTGAAAATATAAATCATAGTCATGAATATCAAAATTAATAGACGCAAAAAGTAAATGCACAGTACTAAACACATGATGAAGCTTCGCATCACTGAATATGTGAAAATCAAGTAAAGTGTCAGTCCATAGTTTAATTGCAATTGTCAAGCACAAGCCCAATTCAAGCATAAAAATCTTCATCCATAATACAACTATTGTACCGTACCTGGAAACAAACCTGCAGATACTGTAAGTTTGATAGGGGAAGTAAAAACTATTAGCGAAGCACAGAAGAAAGCAATTCGCAATTCCAAGAAATCGTTCAAGAAACTGAATTCACAAGAAATGCTCGCCAACGGACACCGCGCACAAAATTTCTTTGGAGAAACGTAATTTTTGCACGTATACAATAAGTACGTAAATCTTTACATAGACACTTTGTATATTGAAATATAACAGAGAATGAAGGAATTGGAAGTACCTTAGAGAGAGGAGGGAATTTTTTGGAATGAAGTAGATTATAGAGTGGGATCAGTAGTAGCAGAGGAATGAAGAAGAAGAATCTTTGCGTAGCCACTGCCATAATATTGTTAGGTAGTTACAAAATTTCCAAAAGAGGGGATTAAAAAAATGAAAAAAAGAAATAAAAGAGGTAATAGGAGCTTGTTTGATAGATATTTTAATTCAATTAAAATCAATTTTTTTACCATTATTTCACTATTCCAACCATCATTTTTTCATTCTTCTCTCACAGATAGGACTCACTTTATCTCTAACGGTCAAAAAATTAATTATCAAAATTCCTAAATTTTATGCAATTTATCCTATGAGTTTATGCGTGAGGATGACAATGGGACCCTACGTCGAAAAGAGCCCCTTCACCGTCATGTTATAGATTTTTTAGAAGGTGGGATGTGGTCGGAACTCGACGGAATTAAGCCCCTGTCTGACATTTATTATTTTTTTAAAAATATAATATTTTGAATTGTGCATTTTAGAATAATGTGTGCTTTAAAAGTAGTAAAAATTTTGAATTACTTATCCATTTACTCATCTTTCGAAAATTACTTTTCGTCCGTCACTCGCACCAATACTGTTCCTTGCATGAATGGAAACGCCTACATGACTAATAGGCCATCCATCATGAAAGTGGTTTCTGTCAAATTCTTTCCACTCAACAGAGATCGATCATCCTATGTGTCAAAAGGCATGGTTGACTAGGCCAAAGCGCTAACATGTATTCTCCTACTAGAATCAAATCGTTTTCCCATTTTTGAATTCAATAAATCTCCCCCCTTCTTCTAAACACAATTTAGCATTCGTTCTGGAGAATTCGACAAATTCTTCCAAGATTGTCAATAGGATAGGGCCGTCCCTATGCTAAACCAAACTAAGCTATTGCCTTGGGCCTCATATTCAAAGGGGCCAAAGAAATAGGCCCAAAAATCGCCCCAGTCCAAAACCCCTCATATCTCTTTAAAAAGTGAAATTTATTTCTCTAATCATTTTCATCAAAAAATCTATTAATTTCAAATTTCCCACACGCAATTGTTACATCTCGATTTTGTTGAAGGTTTCCAAAAATCTCAAAAAACTCAAGGTAAAGTTTATACTACTATTTTGTCTTTGTTTTAAAAATCTTTATTTATGACACGACAAGATATTTTGGTCTTTAATCTTTTATATTTGAATAATTTGATTTTGGATTGAAAGATTTTCATTGAAAAAAAAAGTTGAAAATGTTATCATTGGCTTCGAATCAATTAAAACTTTTGAAAATAATGGAGTTTTGTTTTAGTAGATTGGGTTTTATTTTATTTTTTTAAATTTTTATAACCTATAGAGAGTTTACAGAAATAATTTGGCGTCGAATTTGCGTTAAATTCATGAATATTTTGGATTTCAGCAATCATTTTTTTTAATTAATCCAAGTTTAACTCGTGTGTGTGTGTGTGTGTGTGTGTATTTCAAGAACCATGATCTATTCTTCGGTCTTTATCAAAACGGCACTATATTATACTGGAATATTGAAGCAGCAAAAACCTATTAGAACAGCAGAAAAAAGATAATTCTTCCAACTTTGGATTGGCTAATCTTTTGAGAAACTCTGCTAAAGGCCTACATTAAATATAGTTGTAATAGGGCTTCTTATTTGGTATTTTGATCCTTTAAGTAGCAAAGCCAAGGAGAAAATTTGGTATAGAGATCAATATCATTGTAGTAGAAACCAATATATAAGTATCATTACTCTTGTTAAAAGATTATGTTTAAGGGCATCAGAATAATTAAACGCTTAGGTCCTCAAAGTTCTTAGAGCCGCCCTATCAAAGGATATTTGTGCCATCATTGTCAATTTCTCCGTTTTAAAAACATCATGGACGGAGAATAACCCTAGTCGTTGGTTTCGAAATTGCGAGTTTATGGAAGATAAGATGCATATGATTTCTTCTTGTGGACACAGCCTCCAATACATTCTACATACTAGCAAATACTGAATGGGTTTTTGTGAAGCAAGAATGAGGCTCAAAATGAAAAGGTGGTAATTTGCACAAGACTTATAATTTATTAGATTGGTTTATAATAATCTTCGGCTACATCATTATTTGTCTTGTGGTCTAAATGTGATCAGATAGTTGTATGTAGATTGAGTAGCTTTATTGTAGTATTTTGATTAGTATGGTGTATGATCTAATGATTGATAGTGTTAGTTATAATGTGGGTAACATTGTGTTATTGAAGTTGTAATCTTCGTATGTGAACTGAGTGGTGTAACAATGTTAGTTATAATGCAAAACAAATTAGGATGTGAAGTGTCCAGGTTTTGGTATTGTACTCTATATTTGGATGTGTGTACAATGGGTAGTTTATGCCAATGTAATCCACCTTTCGGATGTTCTATGGTTAGTTAGAGAGATAAAGATTTAATAATGAGACGAATTGTTTTGGCGAAGATACCAAAACTGCTGTATTGATATCCTTAAATACACAAGAATTTAACAATTTATAGAAATCAAAGGAGTGATTGACTTTACATCTAACTCATTACAGAATTAGTTAATCTAACATCCTTCCCATCGCAAATTGATAGGGAGGAGAATGACCATCAATTTGGATTGAAGAACTTTGAAATGGTTAGCTATATGGCCTTTAGTAAATATGTCAGCTAATTGATCTTGTATAGCAATATGGCGGACTTAGATGTCTTTATTCACCACCTTTTCACGAACAAAATGGTAATCAACCTCTACATGTTTGGTTTTTGCATGAAACATAGGGTTTGAGGCTAAGGCAATAACACTGATGTTGTCCGTAGAAAGTGTGACTCCTAATTCACGCAGCAACGTCCTAATCCAATATAATTCAGCACAAGCAATGGCAATAGAAAGATATTTGGATTCAGTGGATGATTTGGAGATAACATGTTGCTTTTAGACTCCATGAAATAAGATTTTTTCCCATAGACATGCCATAACCAGTAGTGCTCTGCCTATCATATAGACTTCCTGTGCAGTCGACATCATAGTATGCATTAATCAGAAAGGAATGTGGTCTATAGAATAAATCGAGGTCCACAGTAGCCATCAAGTAGAAAAGTACTCACTTGAGTGCACACTAGTGTGGTTGACGCTGTTGTTGCATGAAACAATTGATTGATGGCATAGTAATGTCAGGTTTGCAAATTGTGAGATATTGTAAGGCTCCAACAATTTGTCGATATTTAGTAGGATTATTCAGTAAAATCTCATCGTCAGATGACAGTTTAGCTCATGAGATCGTTGATGAGGAAAGTGGTTTAGCCCCTATCATATTAGTACAGTCAAGAAGAACATTAATGTATCTTGCTTGACGGATATGAATACAACGTGAATCACTATCTGCTTTCACTACTAAAAAGTAGGATAATGTACCAATATCTCTGACTTGAAAGTTTTGTTTCAAATGGTTGATGAGCTAATCGATAGCTTGAGGATGAACCTGTCACTATTATGTCGTCAACATAAATTAGAACATAAAATTTCAAGCTAGTAGTTTAAAGAATGAATAATGAGTAATCAAAGAAGATTCAAGGAAGCTAAATTCGATCAGTTTCTCGGATAATCATCTGAACGCAGCACGAGGAGATTGTTTTAGGCCATATAAAGATTTATGAAGTATGTAAACAAAGTCAGGATTAGCTTCATCAATAAAGCCTCTTGACTGCTCCATATATACCTCATTTTTAAGAAATTCGTGCAAAAAGGCATTGGATATGTCATACTACTTAATTGCCTAGTTGAAAGTCACTACAAGAGATAAAACTAATCTGATGGGGGTCAGTTTAATAACAGGGGACAAAGTTTCATGATCATCAATGCCAAGAGTTAGATCAAAGTCTTTACCCACTAATCTTGCCTTACAACGTTCAACATCTCCATCTGATTTTCTTTTTAGTTTGAAAACCCATTTGTTGCACAACTTTCTTTTGAAAGGGTCATGGACATAAAGATCAAGTTCCATTTTCCATCAAAGCATCAAAATCTCTTCCCATAGCAGTATACCACTCTAGAAAAGACACTGCATTTGTATAACAACTCAACTCTTTTTCCTAGTATACAACTGATAATAAGCATAAAGATGACGTGTAGAGAAGAATTTATAATCTCGGAACTATTTAGGTGTGGCATTACCAGCCTTGGATCGATTCATAATTTCTTGAGTGGTGGAAAGAGTGGGACAGATGGCTTGTTGAGTAGTTCGAGAGCTTCTAGGAGTAGTGCATCTGATTGGTAGTTTGAATCACAAAAAGGTAGGGAAGGCTAGATTTCAACAGTTGCAGACAGAGGTACAGTATGAGGAGATTGAAGGTCTTTGTAGAAACAGACAAGTCGTTGGAAATATTTGGGAATGATACTGTGATAGTAGCAGAAGAAAGGTTAGATAAAAAATCAATAGGCAATAAATTATTACTTGGCAAAATAGGCTGAGAGATAACGTGAGAAGTACTAGAATGTTGCATACCTTCCTAGGACCTTGGGATGAAGATTTATCAACTGCTGGGAAAGAATTTTCATCGAAGATTACATGTCTGGAGATGTAAACTCTGCCAGTATCGGGGTCAAGATACATGTACCCTTTTGTACATTTGAATATCTTAAAAAATGCATTGCTTGTTTCTTTAGGCTAATTTGTGTGGTTGATATGGTTTGAGAAACGGATAACAGGAGAAACCAAACGTTCTTAAGTGAGAGTAATCAGGTTTTTGTCCTTTAAGAAGTTGGTAAGGACTTTGGCGGATAGAACTTTGGTGGGCAGTCTATTTATGAGATAAGTAGTTGTATGGAAAGCGTTAACCTAGTATTGTTGTTGGAGATGCGATTGAGCAAGTAAAGTAATCCCAAGTTCTTGTATATGTCGATGTTTTCTTTAAGAAATTCCATTTTGCTAAGATTTACAAGGGCAACTTAAGCAGTCACAACACCAAAGGTCTACATCTTTCATATAGGAAAGAGCCTCCCACCTTGGAAATACTTGGTGCTTTGCCAAAACAGCATTTGGAGTCTGTATTTCTTCAACCCATTGTG